TTTTTACGGTTAAAAATGGTAAATTTATGGCGTCAAAATGGATATTGAAGGAATTCAATGATTTTTAGAAGAATCCTCTTACATCATGCAGTGCCAGTAGACAAACATCTTCTATGAAGTGGATTATTTTAATTTTTTAAAATGGATTTAATGTACAATATCATTAAAATATGCTGAAAAGATATTCGAAAAAAATTTATGAAATTAGGTAATCGTTTGTGATTCTTTTTGACTCTATGATGAAAGTTTTTTGCTGTGTTGTGATTTTAATACTGATAGAGACCATTGATTTGTCCTAAATTCTGCACTGGATTATCATTAATTAATTAGTTTTGATTACATACGTCTTGCATAGAATCTTGGTAAATAAATTAAATACTAGTGCAACTGATACATGTATTTGGAGATTCTATGAGCACAAGATAGAGGAGACATAATGACTTACCTCAATAGGTAGAAAAATGAAGGTTAGGTTGAAATTCATTATCTCTTTAACAGGGCATCAACACCTACTCATCTATGTCCTTTTTTAATAAAAAAAAAGAGTAGAGAGACCTTCAAACACAAAGTCTAGAAAATAAGTTTTGAATCAAATTTCTTAATATTATTTTTGTCACCTATCATCATTTCAAATGTTTTAAATTTAACGTAAATAATGCTTAAGATAAATAATTTTTTTTATATTTACGCTATCATATAACCAACTATACTACGGTACTTGCACGTGAGTCTTATTAGTATTCACAAAAATGTCTTTATCTAAAATAGCTAAAATAGCGGGCCGCTATGTACGTGGCAAGCAAATTGAAAGACTTCTAGTCTATGTGGCATAGATGTCCAAAGAACGGTGCCTAAGTTCGGATTTAATCTCCAAAAATTATATCTATACTCCAATTTCATCCCATGTGTATTTAATGAGAGAAAAATAAGGAAAAAATAAGAAATGAGGAAGAGATAAATTTGCCAGGTTAACTAGACAGAATCTCACCTAAAGTGCATTACAATATTTTATAAATAACGTTTATTTTGTGGTATGACAACTTTTCACGCTATTCACATTAGCATACGAGATGCTTTTAGTCATACAGTTCACAGATCAAATCTTACGCATATTATTAATTTTGTTTTGCTTTAAATTTCCGTGGCTTGTTTTCATATCTACTTTAATGGATGCTAGGGGAACCAATAACAATAAGTACTTTATTTAAAGTAGAATTAATCACCTTTCCCCCTAAATTATCAAAATTATGGGTGGGCACTTTTCCCCCCCAGTCTTTAATAATTGGTGGGCATGGGGCCACCCGGAAGTTTGGTGTCGATATTAAAGAAGAATTAAATTATTTGTACACACAAAGTGTACACCTTGATTGACACATTTTTATGTGTCAAAAATCTGATAGTTGATTGAAAAATGTATTGTTAAGATCAATGTATCAAAGTCTGTCAACTCACATGAGTGTAAATCAATGTATCAATATTTATGTACATGAAGTATGGTCCTTTTGAGAATAAGCTGTGAAAATGAAACCCATAGTTTTATGGAGGAAAAGGGAAACAGACCAATATTTTTTTAAAAGTTTTTTCCACTTTCATGCTTTTGATTATTCTAAATACATAATAGTTTACATAAATTCTGGTTTCATTGACAGGTTTATTAAAAAATATTTTAGAATCACATCAAAATTTGACTGTATAGCTAGAATCGAATATCTTGATCATAATCATTCGATTCTTGATTCTAAAACCCTGATGCGCCAATTTGAACCCGTTCTAATCTGGGTTGAGTGGTTTCGAGTAAAAATATTGACCCTAGTCTGTTGTTGACTAATGATTTGCTTTCACATTATACTCTTGTCATGCAAAACTTTCCACTGCTGGGCACAAGCCAAAGGATGGTTTCCTGTCCTGCCCTATATAATAACAATAGCAGATAGCAAAGTTACCAAACCTTTTATCCTCTCGTTTTTGCCAGCTTCTCGGCTGCATTACATTTAACTTGTTTAACTCAGAAAGTAACACATACAAATGGAGATGGAGAAAAAAAACAAAAAAGAATCACGAGATATTGATGAGGAGAAATGGGTATATGATTCTTCTGTTGATTATAAAGGAAGAGTTCCTCGCCGAGCTTCCACGGGTACATGGAAAGCATCCCTTTTTATAATATGTAAGGAATTCCATAAACTTGAATATCTTGTAATTTCATTTTTGTTATGATTGATCGAAAATTCAATTTTTCAGTGGTTCATATCTGAGAGCTATTTCATATGTCACATCAGGTTTTTACTGTATAAATTAAAAAATAAGAAGATTTCCGTGGCAACATATTGGGCGCACATATCTTCGTATTAGGTGGCCTTAATTTCCGATGTTATCTAAGGCTAAGCCGTTTTGAAAGCTTACGTAAAACCACTTTTTATTGGCAGTTATTGAGTTTGCTGAGAGACTGAGCTATTTTGGACTAGCAACAAGTTTAATCATATACCTCACTAAGGTGATCCATCTAGACATCAAAACAGCGGCCAAAAATGTCAACTACTGGGTCGGTGTAACCACGTTGATGCCGTTGCTTGGAGGGTTCTTAGCTGATGCTTACCTTGGCCGATTCTCTACAGTTTTCTTCTCATCCATTGTTTATATCCTGGTAATATATATAGTCCTCTTCTCCTTTTTTATGAAAGAGTAAAATTGAAAACGAGAGTTGTTAAGGGATAAAATCTCACGTTGAATAAAGATGAAAACATAAATCAACGTATAAAGGATTGAGTTACTCCTCTTAATAAGGTTGACCTTTTAAGATGGAACCCAAAATCCTAACATAGTATCAGAAACCGTTAAGCGCTAACAAGCAATTCGATCCGATTAAGACTCAAAAAATGAACATACCTATTTCATGATCGGTCTGTTCGAACAAGCCATCATCTTGTGGAGACATGTTAAATGATAAAATCCCATATCGAATAAAGATGAAAATATAAACCAATTTTTAAAGGATTGAGTTACTCCTCTTAATAAGGTTGACCTTTTAAAATGAAATCTCAAATCCCAACAACAGATGTAAAACAACTTATTTTATTGTGGTTCATCTTTGACGTGAGGGGTATTTTGGGTTATGTCTAATTGTCTATGCAAGTTTACATTACGATGAATAAAAATGGGTTTTCATGCCCAATCATGCTACATGTACATCATCTTTTAAATTATTGTTTACATTGTATCACGTGACAACACGTCATTAGACAGTAAAAAAAAAAAATCTTTTTCTACCAACAATTTTTTGAAAACAAAGGGGATATCAAAAATTATGTAAGGGATGGATTGTACATATATCATTATTGTTTCAAGCCTCACACAATCAGTATCGACCGTTTAAAATCTTTTATATAGCAGGAATATTAGGATAAGCCGAGATTTTGACATTGATTAGGATCAATACTGTGTGCAATTAAACTTGGCCTAGCTACCTGACCAGCTTAATTAGTACATGTACAGAAAAAAAAAAAAAAAAAAAAACATTCTTCTCTCAACTCGTAGGGGAGTTTCATATTAATTATTCAAGCTTTATTTTGTTCCAAAGTAGTTATTAAAATTGTTTTTAATTCATTTAGTCACACAATTAAATTTTTTTAGCTTTATTATGGAATGTCAAACTTGAAAAACCTCCATGTTGATGCTATGCCAGATTTTTTGTAGTCAGGCACTCCGTATCAAAAACAAGTCTTGCTTTTCTAATTTGAATCAATTTTTATGCAAAACCAGGGTTTACTTTTCTTGACAATGTCACAAATTGTCCCGAGCTTGAGACCTTGTCACACCGGTTCCTGCCATAAACATTTAAAGGTCCATGAATTGTTCTTCTTTCTCTCCATCTACCTGATCTCCATAGGAACTGGAGGGCACAAGCCCTCTCTGGAGAGCTTTGGAGCCGATCAATTTGACGATGATGATGCTAAAGAAAGGAGGTTGAAAATGTCCTTTTTCAATTGGTGGAATTTTGGGCTTTGTTCTGGACTACTATTTGGTGTGACAGTTATTGTGTACGTGCAAGAACATGTTAGCTGGGCTGCAGCAGATATTGCTCTTACAGCGGTGATGATTTCTAGTCTAGTGATATTCTGTATCGGACGACCCTTTTATCGTTATAGAAAGGCGCCAGGAAGTCCCCTAACACCAATGGTACAAGTGCTTGCAGCAGCAGTTGCCAAGAGAAATCTTCCATATCCTGATACACCTGATCAGTTGTACGAGGTTTCAAGATCAGACAAGATTCAGGGGAGGCTTCTTTACCACACTGAGAAGCTCAGGTAAGACATTTTAAGATATAGGCACGGGACATAGATATGCGATTCCTAATTTTTTAGGGAAGTAGGACAATAACGCGTGGGATGCAATATCATTTTTTATTTTTCTAATAAAAATAAAATGCTTTTTGGCTTTGATTTTGAATATTGGAGGTTAAATTTTATAATTATAAGGAGGAGAGACTATTTGTTGTTAGTGGTACTCCTATTTACTAGTGAAACAAAACAAAAAATATTCCAGTATCAAAAATTGCATATCTGAAACCTACAGCTTTATTCTATTTCAGATTGATTCTAGAGATTCATTAGAACAAGAAATGTAAAGTTCTGTATCTATATGTCGCTATTTTGTAGGTTTCTAGACAAAGCAGCAATTCTTGAAGACAATGAAATTTCAGCTGAAAAGAAACAAAATCCATGGAGACTTGCTACTGTAACCAAGGTGGAGGAGATGAAGCTTATAATCAACATGCTTCCCATTTGGCTAACTAGTTTACCATTTGGAATTTGTGTAGCACAGGCTTCAACATTCTTTGTCAAACAAGGAACGACACTTGATCGAAAAATCATTCACGACTTTATAATCCCACCTGCCTCGATCTATGCCTTAACAGCCATTGGTATGATAATAGCCGTTATCATTTACGAAAAACTCTTGGTACCTTTCTTAAGATGGTCAACTGGGAATGAGAGAGGTATCGAAATCCTCCAAAGAATTGGTATCGGTATGGTTTTCTCCGTTATAACTATGGTAGTAGCAGCCTTGGTCGAGAGAAAAAGACTAAGACTAGTAGAAATGAATCCAGTAAATGGTTCAATTTCAATGAGTGTATTTTGGTTAGCACCACAATTTCTAATAAGTGGGATTGGTGACGGATTTACTCTAGTTGGAATGCAAGAGTACTTCTATGATCAAGTGCCCGACTCCATGAGAAGTTTAGGCATCGCATTTTATTTAAGTGTAACTGGTGCTGCGAATTTTCTTAGCAGCCTTCTGATAACAATTGTGGATGTTCTGTCGGAGAAGGGAGGAAAGAGTTGGTTCGGGAAGGATTTGAATGAAAGCCGGCTTGACTATTTCTACTGGATTATAGCAGCTATCACCGCGGTTAATTTGTGTGCTTATGTGTTTGTTGCAAGACAATATTCTTACAAGAATGTGCAGAGGACAGTGGCTGTTGCTGATTGTCGTAATGGTAATCTTGTAGTCTCAAACATGGCTTAATATGTTATTGGCCGAGGGCGAGCTCTTCTTTCCCCTCACTCCCCTTTCCGTAATACGAATCTCGAGTCATCAAAGTCTTTGTGACTCGATTGCTCCTTGAGGGGTTGGGGTGCTCTTTCAATCCCCCTGAGTTCCCCTTATTGTCAAAGAATTAGACGAGAGCTTGCTGTATGAAAATTTATGTACGAGTCTAAAATTTCCTAGTTTTAAGTAAGGCTATGTATATGAATAAAGTAAGAGTGTGTTAAAAAATGAATTATATATTACAGCTTTGTTGAAAAAATGATGTGAAATAATCCAGCTATTTTAGAATAAAATCTTGATTCTTGACTTAATCCGAGCATCAGAAAAATATTATTTGAAAGAAATCTTGGCACTCTAATTCATTATTACAATATTTTTTATATTTAGTTATTTTCTATAAATAATAAATTATTTTCTCTATCATTTATTTAGAGAAACATATGTAAATTTATGAGAATACGTGTAAATTTCGTAGGGACAAAATATTTGTTATGCAATTTTTGTCCCTTGGAAAATATGGATAGGTCATTGAACATTATTTTGTCACAGTTTAGACATAGAATTGTACTAGTGTTTCGAACAAGTCATATTCCCGATCACGAATAAACTTGATTAGGACACAAATCATCATTCAATTCTGACATCAATATTTCCATTTGGAAAGCTATCGAAACTTGATGCGCTGAATCAATTGAGACCAAAGTATCACGCTTACTCAATCTTTGGATAAAGAGAGTATCGTGTTTGACTGCTTGTAGCTTTATAGAAACCCGTAATACAGTAAGAGTTTGACTACAAAAGGATATTATCCACTTCTACTTATTTTTGGAAATGTTGGGATTCAATTGTAATTTTCTCTTTCGTTTCTTAATGAAAATGCTAAGTTTTCACTCGTTGATTTGAAATTGACTATCCAGGTTGACTTAGGAGCATTAGATTGTCTTAATTTACTAAGAATTTAACGTCAATGCCAATGGTGGAAACCTATAGACTACAGAAATAAACACAAATTACATGAATTTTCAAGGGATGCATACATACTATTTTTTATCCAATGAAAATAAAAAGAAATTAGATAATTTCTTTTATTGGCACATTATAACACTTTTTAAAGCAAAAATTACTTTAAAAAATTGCTTTTACTTATTTTTAACCATAGCAAACTAGGCTCCCAAATCAAGAAAAGTTGGTACTACAACTCTAATATAAACCAAAAGAATTAAGGGAAAATTAGACTGTGTACCATATTAAAATAAGTATTTTGATTAATACATTTTAAACTAATTAAATATTTTGATCAAGTAATAATTACGTCATAATCTAAACTATTAACTAAGGCTCCAACCCCGCTAAAGTAAAAACCATTTGAGCCACCACCTAAAATCCAATGCAAATGACTCATATCTCCACTCTCCTGATCTTGCCCCCCCTCGACCAGACTTCCAATCTTCACTCCAAACCAAAATCGTTCACTAATTCACCTGTTTGCCTCTTCCAGTCGTAGCCGGTAGCCCTCAAATTCCCGTGGCCCGACGTTGAATACTTATTTCTGCGCAAGCTCCACTGATCCGGCCAGCATCCACACATTTTTTTTTACTCTAGTCGCCACTGCTCTACTTCTTTGAGATTTAGTTTGAACAACTTATTTTAGTTCATTTGTTGATCTTTTTTTGTATTTTTTGCGCTCGGCAGAAAATTCAGTATCAAGCTTAGTTATACTTGCGCTACGAAAGTTGATTTATTAAAGTATAAAGATGGATTCTAGAAGAACTTAAATCTTGTAGGTATATCCTGAATCAATTGGTTGATTGGATATGAAATTGAATAATTAGCTGCATGTATTCAAGTGTAAAATTGAAATCTTCTTCCACGCCTCTTTAGGGCTTGGGAGTTCATTTCACAAGTATGGACCACTTTTGGATAGCACTGTTCATGAAGTTTTAGAAAAACATGTTCTTTAGTTTTTTTGGACACATGTTTTGGATGATTTAAACCACCCAAAATCGTTGTAGCTCGGTGTCCAACAAACATATTTTCTGAACGTTTGTCACTTTTTAAAGTGTTTGTTACTTTTTTCTATCACATTTTATTATTGTTCGTTACTTTTTTTTAAAACAATTTGTCATTTTTTTAGTGACAAAAAACGTGTCACTTTTTTATTGTTTGTTATTGTTTTGTATCACATATTTGTCACTTTTTTTTTTTTTGAATTTTGTTACTTTTTGAGTGTTTGTCACTTTTTATTGTCTGTCACTTTTTAAATTTGTATAACCTCTTTTAATTTGTGCCACTTTTTTTAGTGTTCATCACTTTTTTCAGTCTATTTCTATCACATTTTTTAATGACAAACATCAATTTTTTAATAAAAGTGACATTATTTGTCAGTTTTTAATAAAAAAAAATGACACTTAACTTTAAAAAGTGACAATATGTCACTTTTTTCTATTAAAAAAATGACAATTGATTTTAGAAAGTATTTTTTACTTTCAAAATATGTTTTATATGATTTTTCAAAAGACCTTTAATTTTAAGGGTATTTTTGTAAGTTCCCAAGAATTAAACTGCTTGTGTAATGATTTTGTATAACTAATTTGATAATCCATGAGTTGTAAACATCCTGATCATTGATTTGAATAATATCGATGGCCAAACCTTGTTAAACTAGCTGTACATGTAACAATCACTTTCCCCGGTTCAATTGAATAATGTTATTCATCCCCATTGGGGATGAAAATACAGTTTATGTGACGTTAATGTGGCATTAAATGATATGTGAAATTAAATAAGTTATTTAATTTCACATTTCACTCATAGACTGTGTTTTCATCATCACTAGGGATGAATAACATTATTCGGTTGAATTAGTTAGTAGTGGGCCTGCATTAATTGGGCCTAGCGTTGTGACGTTTCTTTCGGCGCGCCCACGCATGAAGGAGAAATATTCGAAGTAATATTCCCACGACAAAATCCGCAGTAGTAACTAAACAACAATTGTCAGGGTTTTCTGTAGGGTTTCTATCTCTAATCTAACCTACAGAAAATGCAAACTCAATTTCCACAGATCAAATACTCACGAACCCCAAATGATCCAGCATTAGAATTCCAGTACAACAAAATCAATTGAATTTAATTTCATAAATGGAAGCTAGGGTTGGAGTATCTAGTCATGGAGGAGTGGTGGATGGTGGTGGTGGTGCTGCCACAAGAAAGCTTCTCCACCGCCACCATTCACGGCCGCAGCAGAAGGATCCGCCGCCTATATCCCAGATTGGTACTATGCCTCAGCTCCTCGCCGGTGGTGTCGCCGGAGCTTTCAGCAAGACATGTACCGCGCCTCTTTCTCGTATCACCATTCTCTTTCAGGTGCTTTAACTTCGATACTTTTTGGTCTAAAGTCCGTCCTTTTCCCTCTTTGTTTCTTACTTTTGTGAATGGTTTCTATAATGGAAAAATATCCTAATTGCAAAAGTTGTATGAATAAGATGGAAGACAAACACAAGACTAAACGATGGCACTTCTAGAGTACCTTGTGAATTGATTGAAAAATTGGTGTTTATGTAATGTTTTAAAGTTTTTTTGTAATTTTGGTTGGTATTTACAGGATTCAGAACTGACTGGTTCTTTTTGGGTATTAATAATGTAATCAGGACAATTACATTTGAATATTGAGGATTTTTTTCGTGCTTTTGAAAATTTCATTATGCTAGCAATTCCTTTCTTTACCGTAATATAAAAAAGCAAATCCTGTGAATTTTTATATCATTTTTTAAATTCACCTCAATCTAATGAATTTTTATATCCTACTCAGTAGCCTATTTTCTTTTTCCCCTTATTTGTCAAACCTTGGCTTTATATCTAATAAAAAAAATGTCTTTTAGGTACAAGGCATGCACTCAGATGTTGCAGTATTGAGTAAGCCTAGTATGTGGCGAGAGGCATTACGTATTATCAATGAAGAAGGTTTTAGGGCTTTCTGGAAAGGAAATTTGGTTACGATTGCTCATCGACTTCCTTATTCTTCAGTCAACTTCTATGCATATGAACGCTACATAAGTGTGAGTTTTTATGAGATGCGGATTACAGTTTTGATCCAGGTAAAAAGTGTGTTACTATACTTTTCACTGGCTTCATAATCTTTGCAGATTTTAAAATCTATCCCTGGACTGGATGGTCATGGGGGAAACGTAAGTGCGGATATTCTTGTGCACTTTATGGGTGGTGGTTTGTCAGGAATAACGGCTGCTTCTGCTACCTATCCACTAGATCTTGTGAGGACACGGCTTGCTGCACAGGTAATGTTATGGAAACTGGAATTCTTTAATACCAGTGAAAAGTTAAAGGATTAAGTGCAATCTGAAGTAATTGATCACAAAGAATGGATATTCTATTATAATATGGAGAGAGAATACAAAAATTATGTGTTTATAATTTTTCTAACATAATATAACTTCATCTAAAATACAATAAAGAGTCAACTATATATGTGGAACAATTAGGGGACATAAAACATCGTCGTAGAGTTGTAGATGAAGTAGAATGTCAAAAACGAAGTCCAAAATGGAAAAGGGGACCAAAAACAACGAAGAGAGACATAACAGGTGGCGCTAGAGCTCCAAGGGTCGGCCGGGTTGCGGCATCTTGTCTCCGACACAAACTCCTTCCAATGATTTTTTCTTCATTCAAAAAAGTCTTCTTCAAGTCCAACATCAATTTCTAATCCCAATGGGTTTCCAAGTAGAATTTCAATTAGAGTTTGCCAAGAAAACTTGAATATAATTTCACAATTGCATTCCAAATAGGATTATAATTAATGTGTACTTTAATTAGAACTCCCGATTATCTTCAACAAAGTTCTAACAATTTTTACCTTGATACGAATTTCACTGCAATGAACAAAATTCTAAAAAATTCTCTATCTGGATGCAAATTCCACTTCAAAGAATAAATTTGAACTCTTCAACGAAAAACACAAACGGACTTCTTCCTTAACAATTGCAATTAGAAATATTTTCCACCTCTGCTATCCCAACTAGGGGCAAAAGTGATCTAATGACCACCAAACAAGGCTTAAACAAGTCCTGTAACAAAATCAGAACTGAATGCATCAAAAGAAGGATCTTAGCTAGAATCAATATCCTTAACCGCATTCAAACTATCAACAAAATCAGCAGAATTGTACCTATGTGAAATTTTATGGCAAAAAATAGGTCTATTTCTAGCAATTGAATATAATAACACCGTCGATGATGGTGGCAAGACGGATTTATATATATCTTCAAAATTCAACTGAGATGTATTCTTAAACGAAAACCCTAAATTAGACTTGGAACGGTACAAAAGTCAACTCTAAATCCACCCGAGTTTTTAAAATATGCTGACTCCTCGAAGATTATGTATCACCCTATAAGATATATAAATGAGATTATGTATAACCCCGTGAGCACAACATGAGCTCCTTTGACAACATTCAGAGCTCCACCTTTAACAGTGTACATGTTCCCTTTGAATTAAGATTACTTGAAGAGATGATATTTTTTTCTAATTTGGAACGTGTCTGACTGGATCAAGTGTTCTAACCGTCCTATCAAACATCTTTATTCTGAACTGACCAATACCGGCTATCTGACAATGTGTGTTATTACCTTTCATCACAACACATTTTGAAACTTCTTCATATGTTGAAAACAATTTTCGATTGGGTGACGTATGAAAAGTGCAAGCTGTATTCAAAATCTAAACTTCATCAGGTTTGGAGTTGTAGTCAGACATAAATACAAGCTCTCCATCACTGCTAGGACTTTCTGCATACTTGCTTCCCTTGAAGTTTCTGATTGTTGATTTGTAGTTAACTTTGATTTATTTTGCAACTTATAACAATCGTTTAGGAAGTGCCACTTTTTCTTGCAATAATTACAAAATTTGAAGTTAAATTTTGACTTGCCCCTTGAACGACTACCATGAACAATGAGACCATCTACATGATCCCCAGACGCTACAAGATGCATCATCTTCTTATTTGAATATAGAGTATCGTAGACTTCTTCATTGGTGAGAGAATCACGACTATATAAAATCGTGTCTCTAAAAGATATGTATAAGGCGAGCAATGAACACAACAAAATCAATCTCAAGTCTTTCTTTATCATATTTGACCTCCAAGTTCTCCAAATCAGTGACGATTTTTTTAGAAGTAGCTAGGTGATCCTCAAGTGATGTACCTTGATGAAAATATAGACGTTGCTTCAAATGCAATTTGCTGGTAAGACTCTTCGTCGTGCATAATTGCTCCAATTTTAATCATAAAGCATGGTTTGACTTCTTCTTTAAAACGTCTTGAAGAATATTATTGGAAAGATAAAGATATATTTGAGATCCGTCGTTTCTCTTTCATAGTCTAAGTTGTGGGTATCTTATCAAATCCCAACAACGCGTTATCCAAATCTATTTGAGCGAATACGACTCACATCTTTACTTGTGATCAAGAGAATTTTGTATTGCGTTCTAATTGCGGACTATCGTACTTAATTGTTGCCATCACAAAAACCTTGATCTTCTCAAGAATTTCAACACCAAAAGGCTCTGATACTAATTGTTATAGAAACTCGAATGTTTTAATACTAGTTTGTTGTGAAAAATTGAGATTAAGTGCAATATGAAGTAATTGATCATAATTAAAGATGAATAAAATAATTTGTAGAGAATGAAGATTTTATTATAATATGGAGAGAAAATACAAAGATTATGTGTTTATGATTTTTTTAACATAATCTAACTTCATCTAAAATACAATGAAGCGTCAACCATATTTAGAAAACAATTAGGGAACGTCCAAACGCTTATAGTAGAGTTGTAGATGAAGTAGAGTGCAAAAAATGGAGTCCAAAACGAAAAAGGAAATCAAAAAAAGTAAAGAGAGACAGAACATATGATGTCGCGATGCCACACTTCGGGTGCCGCAGTGCCACTGCCGGCGCCGACCTTGCTGTTTTATTTACAGCAGCTAGCTCCTAGGCACCTCGTCTTTGACCCAAACTCTTTCCAATGATTTTCTTCATTCACAAAAGTCTTTTTCAAGTCCAACACAAATTCTTATTCCCCATGGACTTCCAAGTAGAATTTCAATTAGAATTTGCCAAGAAAATTTGAATAGAATTTCACAATTGTATTTCAAATAGGATTTTAATTAATGTGCACTTTAATTAGAACTCTCAATTATCTTCAATGAAGAATTAGGATTACACCCAAATTCTAATAGGTAACATAGTAATGTAGAACAACCGTAAAGAAATTATTAACATTAATGAGGGCAACAACCATGACTCATTCCCAATAATTTTGGTTGGGGACATGTATGAAACAAACAGAAATAAAGTAGTATCCGGTCAAGATACTATCACACATGCATATGGAACATCTCACTTGTCTTTTACATTTTTTTCCCCTTTTCTTTTCCTTTTTGTTTATGTTGAAGTTTGATATTTTTGTGTTTTTTTCCTGCCAGTAGCCTCAACTAATTTAGTTTGAAAACCTTTCAGAGAAATGCAATATACTACCAGGGCATTTGGCATGCAGTTCGAACCATTTGCAGAGATGAAGGTTTTTTTGGTCTGTACAAAGGACTTGGAGCAACATTATTGGTATGTCTCCTGCTTTGGTAGGTCCCTTGTATGACTAAATTTGGTGACCTAAATACAGATAATTTTTCTATTGCTCTTCCTTTACTTTTACTTCTTGGTTTTTAATCTCTGAGGTGCTCTGCATGTTGCAGGGTGTTGGACCCAGTATAGCCATAAGCTTTTCTGTTTATGAGACCTTAAGATCTTATTGGCATTCTCAAAGGTAATATGTAGTCATTGATGGACTGATGTATCTAGTGTTCCCAGTCATTTCTTTTGTCCTTCCTTTAAGTTCTTAAGAATGACTAATTGCTTCTCTATTAGGCCCAATGATTCTACTGTTGTGGTCAGCCTTGCTTGCGGCAGTCTTTCTGGGATTGCTTCTTCAACAGGTGAGTGGTGACTCCCTTGACGAGTATATATGTAGTTTATCTTATAGCTAGAAAGACATCTGCCATTTTTACTCTGTGAGTGGGGCATTTTTTAAGAGAGAGGTTGAAGGGTTGAGGCCCTGTTATTGTCTGCACATTCACTATGTGATGCCTTTTATGGATGAGTAATTTCAAATTCACTGTTATTAGTATTTACCGTTCTCATTGCTACTTGGATACCAGTGCTGTAATTTTTGCATCCAGTATGCTTGTTTACTATTTTTATCTTCTGTTTCTTTGCACTTACCCTCTTTTCGTGAATTTTAAGTGTAATTGGTTGTACCTCTACGTAGAAGATTGTTCACTATTCACCTATTTTCCCTTGGATAACCTGGCATTGTGTTTTGGAGACTGGTATAATTTGATAATATGACACATTTTGAGTAGTAGTGGAATGGGAAAATACTTGGATTTATATGGTCTGGCTGGGTTCAATGTGAAAATATCAGGGTCAGCATGTCGACGTGGGGATCTTAATTATCATTTTATTGTCTGATAGAAGATTTTACCCACAAAATACAGTTATGAAATGTGATCATATTTGAGTGTTCCGTCCACACAAAAAGGTTAAATATGATTGTGTTAAAAACTTCAGCGCCCTTGCTGATGTCCCTAACACAAACAATATGAAATTTACTAGAATCTACCGAGTAATTGATAAAAGATGATCACAGGTTTAAGTTTAGTAGCAAATTTGTGATTGATTTTTCAATATTTGGCCTTGCGTTCGTGTTTCCCTTACCCATGCCTTAATACTTTTGCAGCAACTTTCCCTTTGGATCTTGTGAGACGAAGAATGCAATTGGAAGGGGTTGCTGGTCGAGCCCGTGTGTATAATACTGGATTGCTTGGAACATTTCGATACATTATCCGTGCGGAAGGCCTACGTGGTTTATATAGAGGGATCATGCCAGAATATTATAAAGTTGTTCCAGGCGTGGGGATCGTTTTCATGACATATGAAACACTGAAGAAACTCCTATCGCATGGGCTGATCAATTCCTAGTCATCATTGCAGTGCTATTACTTCCCTTCCTCAAATGAGTTTAAAAACCTGTCGTTCTCCAGCTTTAGACAGGAAGCAACAAGGATCAGTTTTGGCAAAGTATACAAAGTATACAGAGAAGGTTGACTTTTGCTTTAATACTTCAAAAACAAATTCTATGGTGGTAAATTTTGTGGTTGCTGCCGTGAACTATTTTCGATGTATAGGCTACTTGAAGTTTCGTGTCTGACGTCAATTGTATTACTTTTAATACATGTTTGTTTACTAGTTTTGGGGACATTCTCATCCTTGATGATTTGTATCATCATAAAATTTTGTGGTTGCACCTCCTATTTATTTCTTAGCTTCAAATCTTTCCGTATATCGATGATCAATCCCTCTGATCCACCTAGGTCGAAATCGCTGTAACTTACTCCTGAATATCTATTTGTATCTCTGGCTCCTTTCTTCGCTTGACCTGAATTGTTTTGTATTGGATACTTGTATGGAGCTTGACTGAGATGAGTAAAGTTTGAATTGAACTCGATTAGTTGTATTTGGTACTAATGAAGATCTCTATAACACAAGCTTGATCTTGCTTCGAGTTACAAATATTAAATTTAAACTTGTTAGTTTTAAGTGCTTGTTTTATACAAACTGTGACGTAGGACTGGACAATTTTAATGAAAGAGATTTTTAAGCTTATCTTTTCCTTGCATAATAATGTTAAGGTATTCCCAAACCACCAAACATGCCCTATAAGTATAGAAGATAACTTACTAATAGAAGTAAAGAGGAGCTGTCTACAAGTTTGACCTCATAAATTGGCTAAATATTGACGTGTATTGTTAAAGAGTAAAAAAGTTGTAGGCGAAGTTTATTGGACAAACGAATTCAGAAAATGATTTTCATAAGTTAAAATAGTTAATAGAAATTGTTCTCATGCCACAGTTGAGTGTAGATCTGTTACTTTGCCCATTGCTAATCATTTTAAATTGGTTAGTAAACAATCATCTAAAACAGAAGATGAATTCAAAAGAATGGAAAAAAGCACCTTATGCAAACACTGTAGGTTCAATAATGTATCTCATGGTGTGTACTAGACTCGACCTAGCACATGGAATTAGCATTTGAAGCAGATTTATGACCAATCCAGGTGAAACACACCATCTGGCTATGAAATGGATGTTGAGATACCTTAAAGGCTCTTCTGATTTATGTTTAGAATTTAAAAGAAGTAATGAAGGAGTAAAATTGAAAGGTTACAGTGATTCTGAATTTGCTGGTGACTTGGATAATAAAAGATCTATATTTTTTTACATTTTCACTCTGTGTAATTGTTGCATTAGTTGGAAGTCACAGTTCAAAAAATTAGTTGCCTTGTCCTCAACTGAAGCTTGATATATTGCTGCATGTGATACTATAAAAGAAAGTATGTGGTTAAAATGTTTGTTAAATGAAGCTTTGTGAATGATTCTGTTAGGATTTACACTGATATCAAAGTGCCATTCATTTGAGTAAATATCCTATTTATCTAGAACTAAACACAGAGACATAAAGTTTTATTTTGTAAGAAATATGGCAGAAAAATGTTTGATTAGTGTGGTTAAGATTCCTACAGAATTTAATCCTTCAAATTTGGGGACTAAGGTATTATCTTTAAATAAATTTAGAAATTGCTTGAATATTTTGAATATCACCTGCTGTTATGATAATTAGAAATTCAAGTATTGTTGTTGAAAAGAGTTGAACTAATTTTTTTTACAAGTTTTAGAGCAAATGAATCAATATATATAGATGACTAGATCCATTAATAAATGCCAAGGAATAGCTCGGCAAGATGGAGATTGTTAATGTATTTGGGCTGTGTGTCATTGTTACTTGACCTGTTGGGCCATTTGTGCAATTGGGCTAGTACAATTTGGGTTTAAGTGAAACACGCCTTTGCCTCTTAAAGCTTGAGAAATCTACTCTACATGTGGCTGCATTCTGACCCTTTGGATTGTGACTGTTGAGTTAGATAGATACGTGACTTGGTCTTGGCTCTTTGATGAGATGGTGGTTCCATTCTTTCGGGCTCTTTGTTTTTCTCTCTTTTTCTGAGTGATAGTTGGATTTTTCTCTTGTAAATCTGTAATCAATCTATGTGGTTTTCAATCTCTATTCTTTGTGAGTATTTGATTATTGTGTACAATCATTAAGAGATTGAGGGTTGTGCGATTACAATTTGTAGAAGAGGCGAGAAAGAATTCGAAGAAACTGATGGTTTCTTCGTACATTTTGTTTAGATTCTCGATTTTTCTTAGTGGATCTAGAGCTATATCTCATTGTGGATGTTCAACGGGTGATTAGGTCGCAAGCCCGAATATTCAGGCCCTTCGGGGCGAAAAATCCATTGTTCTGTTTTTCTTTAATTTTCTACAATTTTGTGGTTGTTGCAAGCTTGATCCTTAGAATAAGTCGTTTCGGGCCCTAACAGGTAGAGATACAAATTTCATACATGCCATCTTAGCAGATATATACCACTATTTTGTAGGGATTAGCAGGTTTCACAAGAAATGAGCAAATCTTTAGCTAAATACCTAACAAAACCGCTACAACGAAGCCGACCTAAAGAACCCTTGCTTTCCCGAAACCCTCGTTCACTTATGATTCTCCTGCGTGATTCATCATTCTTTGTTTTGCAGATTCGAACCAAGGGTGAATGATTCGTGTGAGGAGATTTCATTTAAGGTCAGCCAAATAGCTTCTTGGTGGGAGATCGACGGATGAACGCCTCTAGGATTAAGCGAGTTGTTCCTTTTATGGGTGAGGCAAATGAGAATGAAGGAATGGGCTTCTTCCTTTTACGGGTGAAGCAAATAAAATGAAGGGAAGGTGAAAAAATGAATTGGAGGTTGATGAAAAGAATGGCCGACAAGTTTCCTCCTTAAATAGTGCCAAAGTTAGCCTTTTTTATATTGTAGGGATATTTGCATAGGTCAAAAGCCGGTTGCGGGTTTATCCCATCCCTTCCTTAAAGTCTCCTCCACACAATCTAATGCATCCCCCGCACATCAAAGGTCTTTAGCAGTAGGAATGCAGGCAGCCAGGCATCTAAAACTGCTAAGTGCATGTCTCCACCCGAGCTGAATTGGAAGACGGAAAACCTTCATGATTTAGTGCACAATTTTCACGAACCTAGCTGAACTGGAAGGCAAAGCAACTTATTTTTCTGTTCAGCATTGCAGAGTTCACCCTATGTATATTCGGCGTGGCTATAGGACAAGTCTCATTCCATCTTCTTGTCTGTATCAAATTCAAACATATTTCTCTCGTGAAGTTCTCATTAATTGTGAGAGAGGAACTATGGGTGCATGCATCCTCCATGTGCAAACAAGCACTAGTGAGCTCATTCTCTTTTATCCATATCTACACATGATATTTTCTGTACTTGTTTTTGGAAAGATAATAAAATATTATGTTTGTAGTTAATATTTTTTGAGCAAAGCTATCTAGAAAGGTTTCTATACAGGATGTTGGTTGATGTCAAATTGCTAAAAAATTGTAATTAATGTGGATATGATAGCACAAGAGTACATTAATGAACAATAAGTAAAACTGTGTTATCTAATCCAACACCATCAAATCTACCCTAAAAGATTAGTATTCTTGGATAAAATGCAGAAGAAAAAGGACCACATGAGCTGCAAATTGCTCTCTTGTTCTGTGGGCACGTTGCCTACTCTGTCACTAATCTTGGCATAAGCATCAGGTTGATAATCATTTGGTCTTTTGTGAATGAGACATTTTTCAGTGTACCATTATCGCTTTTATCTCCTTTTGCCTCTCTTCTGAAAAAATTCTGTGCGTGTCAGGTCAACATCCACTCTGATCACTTCCCTTGTTGTCTCAGAATTTTCCTATGTTTGCGGCTGGAAAATTTGTGGATGAGCCTGAATCTTATAGACTCAGTCCTTAGTCTTCCTGTATTTCGAGAAACTAATTATACTTGCACTAATCCCTTCAAAGCCGGTCTCCAAACTAGTGGTTTAAGGACCAATTCTGTGCCTTACAATTACCAAGGGAAATAGATTATTTATAATGTATAAAAGCTAGAGAAGATCATTTAAACTGACGCACTATAATATGCAAATGTTGCCTTTTCCTTTTCCTAATTGCATGTAACGCACTATAATATGCAAATGTTGCCTTTTCCTTTTCCTAATTGCATGTAAGAATTCATGGAGCTTAAAATTCTTGAATCAGCACAATAATAAGCTAGAACAATGAAAAATTCTACCCTATTTGGGTCGGTCTCAATTGATTCCTTGCTTTTGGCACAGCGGGACCTGAGTGGGAAGCTGGCACGGCAGCATGCAATCCTCATAATGGTGTCCTTGTGCCTTCTGGAATACTAATCTACAGGGGAAAAATCTATAATCTTGTTTTTTTTCCTTCTGTATTTCTACATTGCTCAGAATATTATGAATTTTGAGTAAGGAAGCATTTGGTCCTGTTGATGAAGCAGTCAAGGAAGAAAGAACTTTGTCTGAGAAAAGTAAGGTTCTTTCCATATCATTGGTTAGCAGGGAACAGAATCGACTACAACAATTAGAGATGACAACATTTTATATTGGCATTATACTACTAACCTCTTTACAGCATACCAACCTATAATTGAGGGATTTTTTGTGCTAGCTTTATCAAGGATTATAAATTGATCTCCCCGTGCATATGGTTTATCAACTAACCTCTTCTGCATGAAACTAATAGTCTGTATCTCCCCGTGCATATGGTTTATCAACTAACCTCTTCTGCATGAAACTAATAGTCTGTTCTTGTTTTCCTCTTCTATTCATGTCTGTTAAACCACAATTGGTATTGTGTGAGGATCAGGTAATCTGATGGTTATTCTACTTATTGCATCTAGTCCTTGGGCTGCAGATTATCTCATCCTCACTGACAATTTATAGGGCATGGTTGAGACATGGTAAGATAGAACTGACTTTCAAGATTTTAATGTATTATTCTCCCTTAAT